CAGAAACATTTTTTTAAAAAAAATAACTTTTTATTTTTCCTGAGTTTCCTTTTTTTCCATGTATTTCTTTTCTTTTTTTTCTGTTTTCTGTTTTCTGTTTTCTGTTTTCTGTTTTCTTCTTTTTTCTTTTCCTTTCCTTTTCTTTTCTTGTCTCTACACCATTTTTAGTCACTTGAGATAGAAAGGAAAAGTAAGAAGCTCAGGGAAAGAAAAATGTTTTTTAATATACACACACACACATCAACGGGACTATTGCAGAAACAATTAAATAGAGCACCCCTGCAAGTTTTTTTTTTTTTTTTTAAGCACAGAGAAAGCTCAGGAACAGAAAAAAATAATTAAAAAACATTTCTGCTGTGTTTTTGCAAACCTTCTGTTTGCAAGGCAACAGTTATAGGCATTCTTCACTTGTGGTAAAGGTAGCTCTAAATGGTACAACTTGCTATAGTTTAAGCCCTGACTCATTGAAGGGACATTCCTGCCTCTGTGAAATAGGCAATGAACTGCGGGGGATAACTTGCAATGAAATTAAGCACATTATTCAAAACTGGCAGGAGTCTTGAGGCACCATTACATGAAAAAGTGTACTTTCGAAATGGAGCAGAAAAACATTTTTTTTTCTAAAGATAGAGATACATCATATATAAAAGAGAACTCATGATATAGTTAGCAGAGGTTTATAAAGACTATGCTGCATACATTGTTAATATTCAGTTATTTGAGTGGTAATTTTACATTTCCATTACATTTGCAGGGTGGCCACTTGAATCCCTATGAATCTGATAATCTGCTAATAAGAGAGCCAGTTTGGTGTAGTGGTGAAGGTGCTGGCCTAGAAACCAGGAGACTGTGAGTTCTAGTGGTGCCTTAGGCATGAAAGCTGGCTGGGTGACTTTGGGCCAGTCACGCTCTCTCACCTCAACCCACCTCACACAGTTGTTGTTCTGGGGAAAATAGGAAGCTGGAGCATTAGGTGTGTTCACTGCCTTGAGTTATGTATATAAACAAGGAATGATAATGATAATGATAATGATAATGATAATGATAATGATAATGATAATGATAATGATGCCACATAACACCCCAGATTTAACAAATGTTGATAAGA